GATTTTTCTATTCTAACTCGCTTTCACTCAATCCTCAGTTTCTCTGCCAAGTGTACCTTTCCTTTTGGGAAAATTCCTTTTTAGGAAATTGTTTCCCTGTTGTTTTTCAGTATTTTAACTGAATCATTTGTTTATAGTAATGATACCTTTGATTTATGTAAAGCATTTCATGGCAAATMAGCATTAAAAGCTGCTAAGAGTTCATTTGCCTGAGCTGTCTTTGTGATCACTGTTAGCAGAAAGGCAAAAAATGCTTCTGTGAAGACAGTCCGTGAGTGTATATCATATACATACAGATCTGTGCCTAATAGCAAAAGCTGGGGAGCAAATTCCAGTCCTACCAATTCTTTGGGAATGATGYGGGAGCAAGATTTGTCCTTTCTCCCTCTGTAAAGCCCCATTCTTCATGTGGGTCTTAAAATGAGTTGTAAATGTCAATTGTTACAAAAACAAAGAATACTAAAATATAGACCTCAGTTCTGAGAGTTTTGCAGAATTATATTGTAAAGAACTGCAGAATTTCAGCAGGCGGCCTCTTCATCCTGTGAGATTTTAGCTGTAGATCCTGTTCTTAATTTAACACACTGTACTTGCTGTGATTATAGTAATGGTGAACATACTGAGAAATGAGCTAAAGAAGAACTGTATGATTATGGGGATGGTTCTCTGGCATAATTGTATCAACTTGCTGAGATGTCATGATGATGATTATGATGGTGAGGGGGAGTTTCTCTGATACAGAGCTCATATCCCTGGCAGAAGCTGGAATGAATAATGAGGGCTGTTCTGTGATTTGATCACTAGAGCAAGAAGAAGTCGAGAGAGAATGAATTAGCTGTTTTTTAAATGCTTTTTATAAGAGAAGTACTTTTTTCTTTAAGAAAAAAGAAGGAAAGAAAAATCCTGTTAGCATCTTTCTTTCTTTCTTTCTCTCTTCCCCAAAATGGAGGTCAGGATGGCCTGGGGTCACAGATTTTAAATACACAGCTATCTGACCGTAACTGGGTAGAAAGATTCATAGCTATCAGTTTGTCATTCATCCTTGTATTGACCCTGCCAATAGCCGCTGATCTGGTTCCGTGTACAATAATTTCCTTTTCTTAGGGAACTAGAATTTTGCACCATTGTAGGGGAAAGTAGAGATCAAAACTGAAGGGGTAGAAGCATACTGAAAAAAAAAAATCACTTCTGTGGCAGTAGCTCTGTCATCCTTGCATCCGCAAGGAAGAGCTACCCAAAGTATGAGCTTCCTTAGAGTCTCCTGGCTTCCTCTGCTCCTCAGATGAGACAGAAGTGGGTTAAGGTCACAGGAGACATGGCTCCTGAGTTCACTTGAGTATTAAGGAGGCCCCGGTGTCTAAAGTCAGTGTGCACTTGTTGCCTTCCCTCCCTGTGAATCCTGGTAGAGACATGCCCAGCTGTCCCTGCTGGCACCCTCAGGCCAGAGAGGCAGACGCTTCCGAATTAACGTGGCCGAAGGGTGCAGCATTTTGTTTTTGTTTTCCCTGCAAGTGAGAGTGTGAAATTGTAGGCTTTGACTGTCACCGAGATRGGGAAACACATGGTTTGTGTTAACTGCTGCTCGCCGACTTCGCCAGTGCCCATCTGCAGCGCGGGTTGCATGAGTTTCTCAGGGAGCTAAGTGAACCTGTGGGGCTGTGAAAAGRACAGAGAGGTATGGAAGAACCAGCGCAAGGTGATCCCTATTGTAGAGGTACTTATTTCTACTTAAATGACAGCCATTAAGCAATGATTCCAAGGCAACTGCTTAGCCCTTAGGGGCTAGCACCAATGTTTCCATGCTAGAAATTGAGCTATAGCAAAGCTGCTGGCTGCTGTAGAGCAGAAGGTATGTGGTAGACATCCATCCTCCTCCTTCCCAGGGATGTAGGGTGTAAGGAGTTGTACAGCAAGGCCTTCAAATGCAAGGGAAGCCTGATTCAAGAGCCTGGCTGTATGGTGATAGCTGTTGTGAAGAGCAGGATATGTGGAATACATACTTCTGTGACCTGTGGGAAGTATCCATCCCCCAATGCAGGGTGCTRGCTAGGAGCAGGCTGCTGCCACCGGGACTCTCCCTCCAGCCCTCTGCTGCTTGTTCTCCTTCCCTAGGGAGGCTTTTGGGAAAAAAGGGCTTGTTCAGGCCCAGCTACCCCACATGGACAACAGACCTGATATTGCGTGCTTAGCCCAGGGTGTGCTGCCCTTCCTCAGCAGAGGAAGACGCTGTGTGGCCTGTCTCATCGGACAGGTTGGACAGCCCTGGATTACAGAGCAGCTTAATGCTGCTGAGTGCTAATGCGTGATATTACATTCTGTTATTCCCATTCTAGTGGGAACTGGAAATAGTTGCGAAGTGACATACCTCCAGCAGTAAATATTCATATTACCTTATGCACTGGCCCAGAAGCGTAGCAGCRCAACCACTCTTTTTGACAGATAGTACATGAAAGAAACAAGACCTCAMGAACTCTGCTAATTAGTTTTTCATATGCTCCAGTATGTGTGAAAGTTGTGTTCTTTCTCACTACTAGAAATATTGCAAGAGTGTGAAGCGAGCATCTGAGTATGTGTGCGGTGCTTTTTCCTGAGTTTGAGCAAGCTAGTGCAAGACATGTCTCACCAGCATAACAACCTCCATGTATATTGTTAACTACATTTTCACATGCAAGGTGTTCATTCAGAGGCTAAGGAAAGAAGATGCAGGAAGCTCATGTGATCCTAATATTTCTGCACAAAACAAAATACACCTCAAACCTGCATAATTAATAAAAGGTTTTGTAACAATTAAAAGAAGCTATCCCTTTCTCAGGAGCTTATAGAGCAAGCCTGGGGATGCTGCAGTTGCTCTCACTTTAGGAAAAAAAAATGCCGCTTTTCTGAATTCTCTTCATTTTGAGAATTTGTGTGTTACRATCACATAGCACAAATTATATGAATCCTGACATCTTTATAAGGTCACTGAAATCACAGTTTGGCCTGTGCTGTAACGGAATTAAGACTCCTAGGTCTGGCTGGATATGATTGTACATACACATTAGAGCAAGATCTTTAGAGATTTAGCAGTCTTTCCTTTTTGGTCCAAGTTAATGRCTTTGTCCTAATCTTCAGAAAAACATAGTTTTCATCTACCTGGAAGCAAAAAGACGGCCTCACTGAAAGTTAGTCAGGACATCCCTCCCATAATTACACTTCGTTTCCCCTTCTCATCTGCCACGGCAGCACCGCAAGGGTCTTTTTCCATTTCTAATCATCCTGCTCCTCCTGCCTGACTCATGTGGAAAGACCCACAGCCCCACAGTGGTCATGCCCTCATCACGTCCGCGCTCGTATAAGCGGCGGTGTCGGCATCCCGGATTGTTAGCACAGCAGAAAGCAGCTGGGAAAGGAGACAGGGGAYTATTCTGGGCCTGGTTTGATTGCTTTGCCTACTCTCCCCAACAGCTTGGAGAGGCCACCTCTCAGCTACCCTAATGAGAGAGGGAAGAGGCTCTGTGGTTGCATGGGAACCGTGAAGACACCCTGGTAAATACTGTGAAAAGTGRTGAGGAACACCCAGCTGTATAAAGCCAGGCGAATATGGTAGTGGGACTTTCTGAGCAGAAAGAGAGGCTGGCATCAGTATCTAAAGCATGAGATTAGGCACATGCCCCTTTTGGTCTGGCGTGGCTTTTGGGGGCACATACCTGTCAAGGGAAGGTGCACTAAGGAGGGTCTGAACTGTAGAACTAGGAGAACTGTTTTTGGGGTTTTTTTGTTTTTTTTTTGTTTTTTTTTTTTTTTTTTTTTTGATACTATGTTAGCTATTTTTTTTTCTCCATAAGCAAGTTTCTAAGTGTTATGGCTGCTTTTCTCACAAGGAAAGTGGGTTATGCTTCCCAACATTATAATGTGAATTATGCTTAATATATCTTAATGCACAGTATTTAAATACCACATAGAAAATGCTCACCATGTGAGAAGGTGCTGTTACTTTAAATTTCCCTTCTTCACTGCTACTTAATTTTGAGTTGTTTTTACATTATACTGTGAGCGAGCTGTTTTTCCATACAAAGCAAGCTTTTTTTTTTTTTTTTCTTTTTTTAGTTGCTAACTTTACTACTGCCTATGTTTAGATTTGGGGGAATTTGTACTGTGTGCCAATCTGTAATTACATTCAAAAGCATCCTTCTCTTCACTTCTCATTTCCGTTCCCCAGGAGACAGAAAAAAAAAATAGGTTACTAGAAAGGTTCCTCTAAAGAGAGTGAAGAGAAGAGCATGGTTATTGAAAGATAATTGCTCAAAATGTTTACTAATGAGTGACCACTAGAGTTTAGATGAATTGTTCACAGTGCAGAATTTATTCAGTGAATTTAGCACTCTTATCGTCTAGCAATTATCCCTTGGGCAGACTGATTATTACAAATGTGTTATTACTGCGATTAGGCAGTGGCCATTTATGTGAATGCACTTCAGCCTATGGGCCACTGACAAATGAGTTATTCTAACTATTCATTACCCCTTGTATGTGACTGGTCATCTAAGTTGCCTAGTTTTGTTTCGCCTGCCTGGCTGGGTGACTGCTGCTGCTTCGAAAGGGAGGAGCAGTTATAGCACAAATAGCAAACACCAAATCTTTATGCTCCTATCCTCTTTACTGCAAGCAGAAGGAGATTTCTAATGCAAGGAAAAATAGACAAAAATTGCAAAAGAAAAGACACCCCAAAT